CCCTCTCATGCCCTTGAGTTCACCTTAGAGGACCGGCCCGACCGCCAAGTGGTACAGTGCGATCAGAAGTGGATCATTCGAACTACCACACTAATAAGCTCATCTCATCTCCATGGGTTCAGTATGCTACACTCAACTGCATTTTCTCAGTGGCCCGAGCCGTTCCTGTTTACAGCTAAAGTGCGATACTTGAGTACCGCGCCCCACGAGAGGCTGAGTTGGTCAACTAGGGCGTACTCGGCGATACATGCATCTAACTTGTTCTGTTCGCAGATCCTACATTGCGAACGAGGAAGGGGGTATGACGTATTCTGGGAGTTTGCTGCATCGAGAAGCACAGCATAGATACTACCCTGCAGACCCAACAGCCAGTTGCCCGACTAGGGTCTCGAAGATCAGAGATATACAAGTAATGGGTAAATGGATAGATGATGAGTGGTGGAGCGGGTTGGGTAGGTCCATAATCTTTCAAATTTTTATGCCGTCGAAAAGAATCCCCCAATTCTGTACGACCCCAATACTGTACGACAGGTAGATCTCGCTCGCCCAGATGTAGCCTCCCAACACTGTACGACGTGAAGAGTTGATTTCATGCGTGTTCCAAAGTTGTACGACACAAAACGGCGACCAAGACAACTCAATTCAGTCGTAAGTCCAATAGCTAGATACAATGTTATCGTTCATCCCGTTATCTCGGTAAGAGTGACAGCCTGTCACGGACAGGCAGTCAATGACAACATTGTTGAGCGCTTCAAAACTACGGTCTTAATGTGTGTTACACTGAAGAATAGAGCACATAACGGTTGGATGCCGTGAACTGTATTGACTAACACAGCACAATAGCAGGACTGAAAACTAAACTGGTACTGGGAAATATATGTGACGTGAGATCTTTGGCGCTGCAAGAGACCTATACTGCCTCAATTGTATATCATACAACAGTCATGACGGAGGTTCTACCCTCTCTCATACATGCATTGAAGTTGATTACATTAAAATTCACAATGTGAAAGAAAACCTTTTCGATAAGACTACATTAGCCGGGGTCTTGCCTCGTATTCTCGGAAAGAGGAGAGACCGCCTACTCTCATCTTCCAAGCAGGAGAAAATATGCTGCCTCATCTCAGATTCCCGAAATAGAAACTTGTCAGGTTTTTGATGAGGCGAAGCAGCATATGCCGTTAGTCGTGCCAACACGAACGCCCCACAAAGATTACTCCCAATGGTTTGCTGTTGAACAGAAGGGCATACCACCTTAGCACCAGATCCGTAGAGCTGCCTCAGCCGTACCTTCATGTAATCCGAGACCTTAGCCTGTTCTCCGTATGAACTATCAAAGTAAAATATATCACCATTAATCCGCACCGTGCAGGTAAAGTGACAACCGCCGTCAGATATTGGCTGCAACACAACCAAATCATTGTCAGGCACAGGGGAAAACCCATAGCCCGATAGCCATACTGCCTGAGCTCGATTAACCTTCCTTTTGAACTTGTGCTCGATACGGGTCATCCAAGCCTCTATCACCTGGTCGGAAATGCTCGAGTCCTCGACAACCAAATTCTCTCGATCCTGGGTCGTCAAGAGCAAGGTCGTACCCACTTCTCTCCCCGGAAGAATACGCCAAGTTGGGAAGGAGTTCCGTCCTTTATCGCTCTTACGGTCAGTTCCGTCTGAGCCCGACTTCTCCTGGAAGGTTGAACTGCGATACCCTGAGATCCTGCCTCAGCCTGAGCTGGCATCGGAGGAGCCTCCATAGAGGAAGTTTCGACTAAGGTGTTGCCCGCGAAAGCAGCTGCCACCTCATTGAACATGCGAAGTAAGCCATCATCCAAGCTGGAACTCTCGGGTACCCCGAGCACCACAGTGTCATTATTTGGAGGCTCAGAAGATTCCAAATCCTGCGAGAATTCGACCGCATCGTTGAGAGTCACAGCTGCGAGGCGCTTTCGCTGATTCACTCCCGAATAATTGGGACCAAAGTCTGCCTTGCGCTTCGCATCAATAGCAGGCTCAATAGTAGGGAACTCTAGAGACTCCGCCTCGTCAACTTCGCGAGGCATATCCTTCACGATCCTCCTGATGGAAGCCCTTACTTTTTCGAACCAGCTCCCGAGGCTCTCCGAATCTACTCTGAAGCGACAAACTCTGCGCAGTATCGCGTCATTCTCGAGGTATCGAGCTTCACGAGGCCAGATTTCCCCCTCTCGCATCATAAGTAATTCGGCCCTCGTCTCCTTCATGAGATCATGAACCACGCTTATCCATGACCAGATTGTAGGATGGCTTGATCCCGGAAAATGACCGTTCCACCGGTTGTGGAATCCCTCCTGGCCATTATTCGTCCGCGGTAGTTCTTGCTCAACGCGCAAACGCAAGTTCCACAATCTTGCTGGATGAATGCCTTTCATGCCGTAGTAAGGGCGGAGGTACTTCAGAAGAAAACGACGTCGTCTCCCGAGAGTTTGTCGCAGATGAAATCCATTCCCAAGTCCACGAGATCAAGCGGAAGAAAGGGGAGCGCCAATATGTCGTAGTAAACCTCTTCTCGCAGAGCCTGCTGCTCCTTAGAAGCAACCGGCTTCCGTATAAGGCTCTCGAACTTCCGCCTTATGTTCTGGCAGAAGTGGAAGTAGCAAAGAACAACCTTTCCTTTCCCGAATACGCCTTCGAAAGCTTTTCTCACAGCGTATTCAAAATCCATCATGCAGCTCCCCACATCCTGAGTCAGCGATCCCTCTATCGCCGCAAAAAATCGCTCGTAGGTATTTCCATTCTTTCTCGGGAGAATAGCGTAGAATAGAGGAAACATGCGACCACAGTCAAAGCGGACCATGACCGTGAATTGCTGGGCCCAATGAGTCGGAGAAGTCTTGAACGTCCCATCCACAGAAATGTGGAAACCTTCTCCGTCGTTCTTCATCACGTCCTTCACCCAAGGATCCATCCAGATGATGAGGCGATCATATCCCCTTCGCCGCTATCGACAATATGATGACCGACTGAGGCCCCCGCATTCACATGGACAAATGCAGAGGGCAAAGCCGCTAGCCCTTCCTGACTGGATGGGGCCGTCGGTAGCCCGAGGGAAGTTTTTTTGTTTTGCGCAAAGTCTCATGTATCGCTTTGCGACTCGGTAACCCCGCTACCGCTGCATCGTCCATGCTCGGAGTCACCTCGTGAAATGGCTCCATGACACGTGCCCTCACCAACAGCTTTTTAGCCCGCTCCTTCATCTCAATGTAGCCTTTCATGGAAGGCGCATCCGGATCTCCGCATGTGTGAGAACCTTTGACAGTTGCGGAAGCGAGCCTTACATCATCTAAGTTACCCGTCACAAGTAGCCGAGCATGACACTTGCGATATCCATTGCTCTTACAACCACGATACCTCTTACAACGACAAGAAACCGAGCCTCTCTCTCGAGCAGGCGGGCGATCGCTATTCCCGGCGGCATTCTGGTGGTAAAGGTATCCCCTATATGAGTAGAGAGTTGTCCCCTGACGTTCTCCGGGAACTATTTCCAGCCGTGAGGCCGCTGCTCCGTCAGCAGGAGGTACGTTGACCACCATGTCAACCTGATCTGCAACATCACGCAGCTGAGGCGTCTCAGAGATGTGCGAAGGTGGAGTGGTATTCATACTTCGGGGTTGGAAGGCGGGGAAAGATAACTACAAGAGAGTCAATCACCTTCTAACGGGCCTTCAAGGCCGGGCCGGAGCGCACGCATGTGCATAGCGAGTGCCGCACAATACGCTGGCACAGAGACTCACTGGGTGAGTACTCGTAAGGAATTCTTACGAATACTCACCCAGTGTAATACTTAAGAGGGCAAATTGCTGACCGAGGTCGATTTACACAGCAGCGATATGGCAAGGGCAGGACGGAAGAGCTGTTGAGCGGCTGAGCTGTCGAATTAGTATTTCGACAATCCATGACTCACGATTCCTAAAGAGTAATTCGGAATTACCCAACAATCCACAATCTTTTGCAGCATAATGCTGCCAGCATTGAACCGAATAATCAGCCCCCATCGTAGAACGATCCCGTATTTTTATCGCATTATTAAACCCAGGATGATGACTGAAGCGATAGAAAACTGGAGACTTTCCAATGGAGGGCAGATTGAAGAGCTGTAATTCATCTTCGCTAAACAACTGGTAAAATTCACCATGTGAAACATATGCCAGACAGTCTGGCCCAGACTAAGGCAGGCCTATACCTAGCACGATTGAGTTGGCAATTCAGATTGAAATGCGTCGGGATTCGATACGGTCCCAGCGCCGCACAACCAGCGCTCGCTGTACAGTACAGCCTGTACTTGACACTGAAGTATTTGCGTTGTCTTAGAAGACGCGAATACTTCAACAGCTTATGCTATGCCAGCTTCGGTGGTGGAATGTTACTTATGTTGCCCACCGATATCATCAATTGGATAATATCCGGTTCATGCACGAGTGTCAAGCTGACACTGTCAACGCCACATTGTAGAAGATGGCGCACGACTTAAGTGGAAGTTTATAAAATTCGACAATAATTCACCGAATCTTCATCACAGTCGCTAACACGTGAAGTTGATCATGTGTATATTGCCCTGCGAGCTCACAGATAAATCCACTTACCTGGAAGGTTTTCCTCGTGACTCACCAGTCATGACACTGCTGCATTGTTGTCACCGTTCTCTCTCCTCGTTGAATGTACGGGCTCTTCATTCTGAGATACTCCAAAGCAGCTCCTACCGAAGCGCAACGAGAGAGACCCACCATTGCGACTGGACCAGTCGTACAGTATTGGACAGGGCACCCAAATGCATGAATCCGTCGTACAATATTGGAGGGTACTCCATGGACATTTTCGGGCGAGCGAGATCTACCTGTCGTACAGTATTGGGGTCGTACAGAATTGGAAGTACCGTCGAAAATATCGCGCGCGCCATATTGATCGACACATGTCGACGTGCTGAAGTGCAGTGGGTGGAAATGGGTACACGAGCTGAGCTTGGAAGACTGACTATCGTTGATTGGTATAACAGGGAGAGATTTATGATGACCAACAGCGATGGCTTCAAACTCAAGGTGAGTCGCGGATGGGCAACTTACTATGCAGGGCGGCTAGTCGGCGAAGATCTCCAGTAGAATCGGGTGTAATCCATGTTTCTGATCAAGTCTGGAGTTGTGTGCTATGTATTTAATTCGAGCTGCTGTGAGTATGTTGTTTGAATGCTCCCTAATAGTCGGACGAGACTGTTGCCTGGATCGGGGAGTGGCATCACAGAACAGTTCTTGGCTAGCGTGACGGAGATCAGCAGGAATGCTGTTACTGGTAACCAAAAGGGTGCGGTGTTTCGCTTACCTGAGAATGACGAGACACAGGGAAACTAACTTTTTTATAGTCTTGAAAAGTTCACCATAGAATACGATTTTGAACGTTGATCAGGGCGCACCACACGTTCCATCTAACTTTCGTCAGCTCATCGTCTTCACATTTGTAGTCGTACGCGAGGCATTAGTCTCCCACGAGAAAGGCAGTAACGTTGACGGTCTGGGAAGCGGTCTGTTTCCTTTGGGAGAAGAGGAGAGGGGTATTCTCGCTCATGGTGAGCAGCCTACAGGGTTCAAGGTCAAAATGGACATCCAAGTGGCTGAGGACGGATCTAGTACATCTTTGGTGGTCAGCGGATTCGACACTAGTGAGACGTTAGCTTTCTCTCGCTTTGGTGTAATGCGTTTTCTCCAGAAAGTGGCTTCCCTGTTGGCCTTCACTGTAGATGGTATCGGAAGTTTCCGCAGTACTGTTGTCGGTCTCGTAGCGAATCTTTGCATAAAATCTTGGGCGTGCGTTTGGAAGATACGTCTTATCAGCTGTCCCCGGAGGACATTGGATGTATGGTTGTAGTAGAGGTTGAGTGTATTGATGCTTTACGTAAAGGGAAGGCATTGCTGAGTGAAGGGCCGATAGAGATGGACTCGGCAACTCGGCGAACTATTGATAATATTATCGCTGCGGGGGGAACTCGCTTTCAAGTGCAACTACTTGGTGAGGAGGGAGAGGAGGTGGACGCGATACTGCAAGTGATGGAAAATGGGGTAGTAGTAGGGATGGGGGATAGGCCAGAGGGGTGGGGTTAGTTTAGGTACGGCTCACCGTCACTGCGCCACGAAATTCATACCACACCATGGAGAGTTCGTATTTGAGTGAATACCCCAAGGTTGAGATCCATCCCAAGGAGCACGTGTCGAGGTTTGTAGTGGTCGTGAGTGAACGGGAGAGGTGGAGGTTGAAGGCGCTGAGTCGGCAGGCCAGGGACTTGGCGGTCTTGACGATACGCTCACTGAAGGGTCTTCGGTTGTATCATAACAGTAGGGTCTTGATAGAAGGAGAGTTGGGGGAAGGGGGAGGGACTTTGGTCATGTTGCTGGAAATGGAGAGGCTCAGGACGAGGGTGGCTGGCCTGGTCGGGGAGGTGGAGCGATTGGGGAGGCAGTACAGGAAGGCTGTTGAGGAGAAGCAGACGTTGGCTGATCAACTCACAGATACTATAGAGGCATATACACAGGTAGAAATGACAGGTGCGGGGACTGAACCGGGGACCTCAGGTGATGGAATCTGATGGGGGTGATAGTGGTACATCTGAGGTGTATCGACTTGCCGTTCCTGAAGATTTGGATTTCACAGAGGAGGTGGAAACGCTACGGCTGAGCAACAGGCATCTCACTGTGGAGGTGAAGACACTTCGCGCGGAGATACTCAAAATGAAGGTACCGGGTGTGGGGTTCGAACTTGGGACCTCCTTACTGTGTACTGTTCAGCGAGATGCTTCGCGGGTGCAAGAGGCGCCGCAGTTGAGTATTGACCACAAGGATGGTGGCGTTGAGGAAATGCAAGAATTGCAAGATGCCCGAGTGAGGAGGTTGGAATATCAGAAGTCATCCCTTGAAACTGAGAGGGATCGGCTAAAGGAGGAAGTGCGGCAGATCTCTGAAATGTATGTTGAACTCTGGTAAGTTTGAAAATCTTCCCTGTGCGCAAAGATATGCTCGTGTGAAATATTCGCTGTGCGCTTTGATTAGGTCTGAAGGGACTTCCTCGAACGACGGGTTGAGGGAGGAGGTAGTTCGACTGAAGGAGGAGAACGAGTCGCTGCGGTCACGAATACGGGGATTGATTAAACCGAGGGAAGATGTTGAATCAGAACCTGAGAGCTTGGCGGAAGGTATCTAAAATCTTCGCTGTGCGCAATATGATACGTCGTTCACTATGGGCATGCTTTACTTTCCGTAGTTGAAGTGTGGAGTTGAGTCGCGAGGGGGATCCTTTTTTTCCTGACTCTGGAGTTCGGGTGGGATTCTGGAAGGATGATGGGTCAATCGATGCTCCTCATCTGCTGTTGTGATAGTTTCCTGTTTTTGTGGGGTGGAAACTGGTCGATTTGGGGGGGAGGGGTCCATTCCACTGTTCTACTATATGATGGTTATAATTGATCGAAGCTGCCTCAGGTGTGGTATTAAATGATAAATTGTGGTTTGGGTTATCTGTGCTGGAACTATCTAGGGCGTAGTCCTCCAGTGTGGGGAAATATTCACATATGTTGGTGATAATATGAAAATTCTGACGGAATTTTGAGAAGCTCTTGTTGGTTTTTGAATATTTTTGCTGGAAATCGTGTGCAAACTCCTACAATCAGCGAGGAAACTCCTGAGCTGAGCTGAGCAAAGCGAACATATATTCCTCCAACATTATAGTCCCCATCCTCCTTGATGTCTTCCTCCTCACTCTTAACGAAGTGTGGTCAACACCGGAGGATGATGGCCATCCGTACAATATCCTCGGCAGTTCATCGACACCTTTGCCCTTGGTCGTCATCATCATCATACTCCCCCTCTACGTCCATCTTTCACCCTCTCACTAAATCAAGTGAGGAAGTTTGCATCAACAACAACATTCATCGTTTACTACCATGTTCAGATTCACCGTCTTACTGCCGCTACGGAGGAGCGGCGATGGCGGTTGCTCTACTGGTCGGTTCTGCTCTAACTCCGTGTGACTCTGGCACTTTCTGTGAGGAATCGGCTGTAGAGGGTGTCGAGGGGAAATGGCATCCCCATTTTGGCGAGCCTGTTGACGGTTTAAAGACCTATAAGATTGCTCAGGTGAGGTGCCCAATGGATGACCAAAGAATATTCGAAGTCTCTTCAGCGGAGTTCAGGAGCTCACACACGGAGTAGAGTACATAGAAGTGTAAAAAAACTGATAAGAATTCCGCGAAATTTCCTCCCAGAAATCTCACTTCATCACGACACCTGTAGTTGATCATGTGAATATTTTCCCACACACTGAATGCCCCTGTTCAGGTTGCTGAACACAACAAGGAGGGCTCCACTGTATGGGTTACGTTCAAGCAAGGCGTATATGATATTACGGAATTCGTCGCAAAACACCCCGGAGGAAAAGATAAAATTCTCATGGCCGCGGGTCGGTCAGTTTCGGGTCGCTGCGATTTTTGCAATTGTTGTTTATTTCAGGTGGAGCTGTAGACGAATTTTGGCGACTATATAGGCAGCATTTACAACTGCCGGAAATCAGCTTTATGCTGGAGGAGATGAGAATAGGTGAACGGCGGCGTTCTGATTGTCTACCAGCGATGTTGGAAAATATGCACATGGTCAAGTTCATGTGTAGGTGACAGTCGTATAAAAGTTGAGGAAATTCTCGTTGGTTTCTGTACACTTTGTACACCCGAATTTGTATGTAAACTGCTATAATTAGCGAGGAGACTTTTGAACTCAGCTAAGGAAAGCGATTACATATACTCCAACACTGTCCGCTACGGCTCAAAATGGTCGTCGTTTCAGGCAATCTTGATCCAGAGGAGTATGCCCAAGCTAATCTTGAGTCAGTGAAGAGTGGGGACGACCCTTATCGGTTTGAGCCGGACCATCGGCATCCTGTGAGTCCTTCTGGGGCTTGGTGTTGTTACTGTTCTGGATAGGCACTTCAATTTCGAACCCGACATCCTTGTAACGCCGAGGCGCCTCTTGAGCTACTCGCGGATTCATTCGAGACCCCGAATGCCCTTTTTTTCGTGCGGAATCATTTTCCTGTTCCTCCACCACCGGAGAGGCCGGTGGTACGGTTCGAGGGCGTCGGATTGAAAACAGCAGTTGAACTTACTGTTGAGGATTTGAAGAGGAAGTTCCCTCAACATAGTGTCAATGCAGTGATTCAGTGCGCTGGAAATCGAAGATCTGAATTCAACCGAAAACTCGAGGGAAAACCTCCGGTGAAAGGCGAGACGAAATATTCTCGATCAAAATAGATTTGACTTGTTCGTGTGCGGCAGGTCTGGGGTGGAATCCTGGAGCAATTTCTAACGCCATCTGGACCGGCCCACGGTTGAGGGAAGTATTACAGTACGTTTATGGTGATATGGGAGTACCGGATGAGGTCACCACTGATGGCCATGTCCAGTTTTGGGGAAGAGATGGTGATGGTCAACACAATTATGGAGCAAGTGTGCCGGCCCCTAAAGTAGCATTCTAGTTGGTTCGTGAGTAGATGGGTATTTCTGTCGTTGGTGAAGGTATTTAGTGATAATGGTGATGTTATATTGGCTCTTGAGATGAATGGCGAGCCGCTGCCTATCGATCATGGCTGGCCTGTTAGAGTTCTTGTGCCGGGGTCGGCTGGAGCCAGGTGCCCTCGCTGGGATTCGAACCTGGGTGGGGAGGATGTTCGATGGTCAGGAATGTCAAGTGGTTGTCTAGAGTGTGTTTGGAGTTGGAGGAGAGTCCATCGTTCTGGCAGAAGAATGATTATAAATTTTTACAAGTGAGCTTTGTGTGCATCCCTGATGTAATTTCGTGGCGCGCGAAATTTGATCTGCGTAGGAACACAGTGAGGACAATGCGGAAGATGCGGAGGCCCTGCAAGTGATGCCTGTGACGAGCGCCATATGCCATCCAGTCGGAGGAGCGACCGTCCCGTTAGATGATCAGAACGAGTTTGTATGCAAAGGGTGAGGTCGCGGGTTCGAACCCCGGTAACGGCATTTTAACTCGCTTTATGTACGCTTATTCTGGTGGTGGGCGGCGAGTCAAAGAGGTTGACGTATCAATCGATGGAGGAAAGACCTGGAGTCAAGCGATGATGGAGGGGCATCCTGAAGTGAGACATGAGTGAGATCCAAGAGGTCCCTGGTTCTATCCTAGCACTGGACGTTTTAGCCGCAATTGGTCGTGGGTACTTTGGTCCGCGGTGATTTCCATACCACCTGGTCTCATCAACGTTGGAACACCAGAAGAGGAGGAAGAGGTTGAAGTGAGATCGAGTCTTCAGGAAGGCGTGGTAACGGTTTTAACAGATAATCGTTCGGGCTTTCGATGATGCTAACAATACTCAACCGGAGAGGTCCGCGACTATCTGGAATGTCCGAGGCTTGGTCAACAACTCGTGGCATAAGGTGAAGGTTAGAGTCAGTCGGGAAATGTGAACATTTTGGTCCTGAAACGAGGGCCCGTTGGGGGCGCCAATGTGCCCCCCCAACTTTCACTTATTGAACTTTTTTATATTTTTCATTTCGAAGTTCAGTGGTGGTAATAGAGTTGAGCATGCTCACCTTTGCTAGTAGTACACAAGTGTAGTTATTGTTATCTATTCCAGTTTCCATATTGCTGGCTTTGCGTAGTACCATATCAGAGAGGCTCGTCAGAGCTCAGATGGGCGTGTTTGGAATTTAAGAAGTATATGGGGTTGATTCGAGGGTACGGGAGAGACTCCTTGAACTCTGTTGAAAGAGGAGCATTCGGTTGTTGTTGTGGTGGGCAGGGGGACAGAGTCTGCACATGGTCAACCACATATGTTGGTGACAAAATGAGAATTCTGAGGAAATTTTGATAAATTCTCATTGAGTCCTGTTTATCTCTACACTGATTCGGATGTTAACGTGTATATTCAGTGAGGAAACTGTCAAGCATAGCTGAGGAAGGCGATTACATATTTTTCACCACTGGACAGGGTTCCCTAACGTGCTGGTGACCTTTTGCCCGGCTTGTATCACACAGACAGTATGGCAAACGTCGTGTGCTAGCAGTCAGTAGATGATGGTTCAAGTAGTTGATTCGGCAGCCGAAGTATTGCATTGTATGTTCCGGGATCCCTCACACTGAACGGCATTATCAAGGCCAGTCACTTCCCGTATTCTCTATAGGGGTCCTTTCCTCTTGCTGCGGTTGAAAGCAGCTGAGTCAAGGTGCTTGTTGTTGTTGATTCAACTGTTCGACTTCCTCTACCGCAATCATCATTAGGAGCCATATAGGATGAGGTGGATCGAATTGTAGAGAGCAACAGACGATTTGATAGATGTTTGGTATCATAAAAAGCCATTCAGAAGGTGGCAACTCCGAGTTCAATGTGTCCCATGTGGTGGGCTCGACGGCTCACTTACGAAGCATGGTTGATTTTGGTGAGAGATCATATCTGTCATGTTCCACAGGAGGATGGGAAAGTTGTGGTATGATCGAAAGCATTTCGACAGATTCCCGTGGTAGGACTCGCCGTTCTAGGATGTGGGCTGCTTCCTGAAAGCGGCTAGTCAATCTGCAAATGGTACGAGTGGGCAGGGGGTTTACGAGGATTCGCAATCTTCCGAGGATTAGTCCTCCGAGTTCCCCTCTTGGTCGTGTACTCGGGAGGACATTGAGTTCTACACGAGATGGTTGAGATTTGGTAAGGAATAAACACAGCAGGGCATAGAAGCCGTAAAAGCATGCACTAGCCGATCAACTGTAGAGTTGAGTATCTAGTGGTTTCCTATGGTTAGTTTTGCACGCCCTCTGCAGTAGCGGTCGGTGGTTTTGTAAGATCCAATATGCCAATGCCAATCTCCCGTCGGTATATAGACATCGCTGTTAATCTCACAGATGGAATGTTCAAGGGAGTGTACCACGGTGGCAGCCAAAAGCATAAACCAGATTATGCAGCTGTGGTACGCGAATGAACTGCAGAAGAAGTGGCAGACTCGTTCGGCCCATGTTTAGGTGAGTAGAGCCTTCCAGGGTGGTTGCAAGAAGTTGTTGCTATGTGGTGGCAGCTTGAATGACTCGATACAAGCTGTTGAACTGTGCAAGGAACTTGATCCTGACGGAGGCAAATTGTGAGTTGGGAAAGTCGACATGTCGTTTCACCGCTTCAGTTTGCTGTCAGATTCTGCACAGTTGGGGTTCATCCCACGAGAGTTGGAGAGTTTGAAAATGAGGGCACCTCGGCCGAAGCACATTTTGGAGCACTTCGGAAGCTAATAGCCGCCAACCTGGACCGAGTCGCTGCTATTGGAGAGATGGGACTGGACAAGGAGAGGACTGAGTTTTGTGACTATGGGACGCAGTTGAAGTACACAACTACATTTTATAAAGTTGATATCCCTGTTGGAGTTGACTCGAAATTTTGCTTGTATAGGAATTCTCTATGAGGCAATTATTGGCGATCACCTATAGCGAACCAAGGTCGCCGCCGTCACTTGCTCGGTTACAGGTATTTCGAGCTACAATTGCGGCTAGTTGAGGAGTTTCAGTTGCCAATGTTCCTACATATGAGAGCAGCTGGAGAGGACTTCTGTAGGACTGTATGAAGTTGATGATGATGATGCTCGGCTGTGTCGGAGAGAATTTATTGTCTTGTTTTTGGCAGATCGAATACTGAATGAGAACAAGAGCAAGTGGTGCGGCTCTGGCGGAGTGGCTCATAGTTTTACGGGGACACGTGAGGAGATGGAACTGATAACTTCGCTTGGATTGGGCATCGGTAAGGCCAATCGACAGTCCCCGTTACGTATGAGCGTGAGAATTGCATTGAGTAGATGTTGTTGAATTGGGTTGGTGTTACGGTATGCTGATGATAATTGTGATCTTTTTTTCGTATCGTTGAATGAGGCGAGTTTCTGGATCAGGACTTTTTCAGTTCCAGGCCCAAATTTTGGTGATGTGACTTTCAGGGTTCTCGTGATGTTATACTAGAATCCCTGTTATTTAGCTCGCGCTAGCTGAATATTCGCTCGTGTTGGACATTGATCTCTCCGGCTTAGGTCTCAATGGCTGTAGTTTAAGGGCAGCGGAGAGCTTGCAAGCTGTGGTTCCCTTCATACCAATCGATAAGCTTATGTTCGAAACTGATGCTCCGTAAGTAGTGGTGACAGTGTCACGATGATATTGGTCTGTGTAGGTATTGTGACATTCGACAGTCACATGCTGGTTATAAGTATTTGAATAGTAAGGGTGACTGGTGGTACCATGGTGACACTGTGAAGAAGCCTGAGAAGTGGGAGGACGGAAAAATGGTAAAGTCCTTTTTTCAGCCAAGTCTCCCACTGAGATGCGCTTCAGGTGAAGAGCCGTAACGAGCCATGCTTGGTTGGGCAGGTTGCTGCAATTGTGGCCTCGGTCCATCCAGCTGGTGATGGAGTTGTTGAAGCTGCTCACAACAATACTCTACGTGTGTTTACCAAAATGCAAAACTGATGATCAGAGAGCCTCTGTGTTGGGATGTAATCCACAATGAATCTTTCATCTTAGCCCATAGATTCGAGGCTCCGTGGCAATATCGTTTGCCGTGGTCTACTTCTGCTCATGTCACTCCCCGACGATCCCTTCACGTCATGGTAGAGAAGACTGTCATCATAGACCCGCTGTTGGCAGCCTTGATGACAAGCCCTGGTCTTACTTACCCGGCCGCTCTCGAGATAGTGATAGCCCCCGGCGATGAAGTGAATGATTATGAGGGTCTGGGATCTGTACGCCAATACCAAGAACGCGGCCGAGGTCAGGAAGAGCGCCGCTTCCATCCACGGTGCCATCGAGGGCGTGATAGACCAGCACCCCGACTTGGCTGTCACTGTCGGTGATTCGTTGCTCGACGGGGCGGCGCGATTCGACTTAATCGAACTGCAATCTGTGAATAGAGAAGCTTGCTATGGTGAGTTATGGTGCATCTGCTTCGCTCCGCTGATTATTCTCATCATTGTTCAGCCTCCTATATACCAATGAATTGCGTAATAATCTCGCGAGGCATGCTGATTCGTGAATTCGTATTTAATCCCCTGATCGTTCTCGAGTCCCAACGAGACCTTCTTTTGGGCCGCTCTCGAATCCTCCAGCAGTCCTCGTCCTATTGAGGGTCCACCTGTATTGGTCAACTGTTACTCTCAAAGGCCCTACAAGCCTGTTTTATCAAGGTGAACACATCATCTAGGAGTTCACTCTGTGATGGTAGGGCCATTATGGACGAGGAATGAGTAGGGTCTCCCTTGCGGTTTCATGTGGGGCCATAGCTGACGAATTGGGGACCAGTGGATGACTGGTGTGGGGATTGAACCAGGGTGACGGTTTCGAAACGGTCAGTCAGCGTGTTGTCCTGGCATAGTCCTACATGCCAATCGCGAGAGATCTCATTTCATGTTGCTTGGATACCTTTACGTGCGAGTTGTATGGTAAGAGGGCTTGCATGGTGTGAGTCCTGTTACCTTATCTGAGCTGCTGGTGGCCATCGAGTATCGGCCTGACTTTTGGTGAGCTCATCCTAGCAGGCCCCAATGTGACCAAGACCGGCTATGTTGAACTGACCGAAAGCGGAGGCGACTCAACACCAGGGCATGTTCGTCCGGAATGGTGAAGTACATGACCCTTACTTAAGGGGTCGATGGTTCTTCTGGACTGCCTCTACAGTGGGGCGGTGGGTTCTTTGGATGCTATGGGGTCGGATATTTGCCCGAGTGACACGCTAAAGTACACCATTGACCATACCACAGTACCATCATGTGGCTTATGTCACTGTGTGGCCAGCCAGCTCGACATTCGTGTGCTCTGAAATTTGAATGCTGCCAGCCGGGTCACACCCGAGAGGACCTCGTCAACTGGTTGAAGCATTTCCAAAACGGCTTGAGAGAGATGCTTGTGGACCTTATGAGGCTTGTGTACCATCAACCGCGTTTGATTGACTATTTGTCGAACTGGATTCTGTTGTCTGCTTAGCGAGACCAATGGGCAGATTGAAGCTACTTCTTTTTCTCAGCAGGTGTGGTTCCTATTGTCTTGCGTTGTCATTGTAGTAGGGACATGGTCTCAGCCTTGTACTTGTCACTATGGCGGAATCACGTCGTGACTGTTCCCAGATGGTCGCTAAGTTCATCCACTACAGTGCAAGTATCCTGCTCATTCTAGTCGGCGCCTCCTACGCTATAACGTCCCTCTACTTCCTGTCTCAAAGTATTGGCCATCCGTTGGGGACTGGCATCGGCCTTGGCTTCGGTCTGACGGTCTGTGCCACCGCTGTTGCAGGGCTATTTGTGAACACCAAACGGCGAGTTTGGTATCTTCTACTACTCCTGCTCATGCAGGCCTTGGAGTATCTATGTTTTTTCACGCTGGCTGTGATCATGTCAATATTTACGCCATCACTGACTGTTATGGACCAGTACAGCCTAGTCCAGCTCAACTTTGTCGGTGGTCGTGAGGGCAGCTTTTACCGTGGTACTCGAACTGTCTTCCTCTACATGTACAAGCATGCTGGCTGCAGTGGTGGGGAGTGTACACTGCGTGGTGTAGTCGACTCCTGCACGGCAGTAGAATGCAGTTCTTCGAGGGACTTGTCCAAGTCCCTGAATGACCTCCTTGGGCGCCGCTTAATTGGTCCTGGGTATACCAGTTCGATGAGCCGTTGTATGGCCTCTGCTATCAACGAGGCTGATGTTACTGAGGCTACGGCTTCATCAGTGAGCGTCTGGTGTGGCTGCAGTACGGAGGTCTTTCGCTACATGCATTTGTGGTCCCCTTGGATCTTGGCTTCCCTCTGGCTGGCAGTCCTTCTCATTTTCCTGGTGGCGGCAGCTACTTTGAAGACCGTTTTTATGAAGAAGATTCGATGGAGAGCACATGTGATTCGAAGTGTCGGCCAGAGTGTTGGCCGTAGTGATGGAACTTCTATGGTGAACCCTGAGAGTATCGAATTTGTTAGACTGTAATCATGTGTATGTGTTGATCCTTTGTGTCCAGTCAAAATGAAGATGCAGTGATAACAACGATTCTTGTTAGTAGTAGTATAGGTCAAATCGAAGTAATACTACTACATGTAACCATACAGCCGATATTCGGCAAGAGTGATGCAAGTGAAAGCGTGTTGTCTTTTTCAATCCTAGGTGGGCGGAAGAACCATCAGACAGGCCCTCCTCTAGTACTCCATCGAACTCTCCAATGCTCGGTTAACAATCGTCAGCTTGAAGCACCTAGGGGCAACTGGCATCTGTGGTGTCCTTATGGCGATCTACATTATCGTCGCCTCTGACGTCGAGCTAGTCCATCGTGTGTCGGTCTTGCGGAGCCACTCACTCCTTCTACCTCGGCCTTCATGCACGAGAACAATGCGGGGGTGGACTGTACGATCCCGAAGGAGAGAGAAAGAAGAGTTTGGTGATGTCTCCAACAGAGCTTCGCTATTCACGCGTGACCGCACGACGATCCTCCTCACGCGTACGTATAAATCAGGCAGTGCGTACAGTGTCGCGACAGTATAGCTGTAGTTCTTCAGTGATTCCCTCGAAAAGAGTCAATTCGGACATTCGCCCTGCATTTGACCATGTTGTGCTCGTCCTCGTTGATAGTTATTGAAGCCTTGTCTATGGCAACAAGTATCGTCGCCTATCTCCTAGCGCGATCGGCTTTTGTTGGCATTCATGTCGTTTATCTGTATTGGTTGAACTTCATTTTCAACGACCCGTTCGGTGTTGGTGGGAATACTATGGATGCAAGAGAAATCCTCCCATTCGGGGAGTGTACACATTTTGACCCGAGGGCTTTCGTCGCGAACATCGGCTCATTTCTGATATTCTCGGTGCCGCATTCTCTGCTGGCCAGAACTGCAGTGAAAAAGCGCCTTGGTCTATACAACAAGCCATACGAGAGACCTTTGTTCGCCTTCATGAGCCCGATAACTTGGTTCCTTAGTATCCACACCTGGACTCCCTTTGACAACTGCGCTCGATTCGATATCACCAACATCAGCGCCGCTCAAGTCCTCGTGTTTGGTGGTATATTCCTTCTGGCTAACTTGTATTTACTTGGTCTCCTGTACACTCTGCCAGATCATATCCTTGGGACCAGTCATTATAAGTATTGCGAGGGTGAAAAGCATGCTCATAAGCTGCTGACGAACTTCCCTTACAATCTGGTTCGTCATCCATCGTCCTCGTCTTTCTTATGGATGTATTGGGCCCTCCCAGCGTACACTGGTAACCATCTTCAGCTCGCTGCGTTATGGACCGTCTACATTATACTGGCAACGCTGTTATTCGAAGAGGGTGGCCTTAGGGGACCCACGGGGGAGTTTGGTGAAGCTTATGAAGAATACGCTAGTAAGGTGAATGCCTTCACCCCGAGCAAGTATTCTATCGCCACTATTTTCGGTTGTCCGATGGGGATTAAAGCCAACGGCAAAAGCGCGTAGAGAGATATGAACGGAGAAGTTATAAACATTTTTTGAGTTGAATTGGGTGGTTTATCTGCTGGTACTTCTTGACAACCCGATGAGTCGATTTATAGTATGCTTATTATTGAAGTCGTTGCCACATCGTGTCATTCTTAGCCTTCCTGTGGCCGCTCTTGCGTTGATAGTATGGAGGTATTTTGGTCACTCTAATTGGGTTTTCCAATGTATAAGTTGACTGGTGTTGAAGTCTCATGACGGGATAGTTCTGTGTAGGGTAATACTCCCCGCGGTAAATTATTAAATACATGCTCATGGCGTGCACAGAATTACCTCTGACTTTGTAGTGACAGCGACCCCTTCGACTCCTCTGAACGCCGTCAACCCAATTCTTGCACGCATGCGCAAGCAGTAAAAAGTTTGGGGCGAGCGAGAAATGCTTCGAAGTATTCGTGTAGGGGGCACTGTTGGGAAAGACTATTTGTCCGTAGTGGCATTGCATTAGAAATGGGCGGGAGACGTCTCCTTCACGGCAACTACTTCACCCGTTATCTCTTCGGTTCCCTCGCGGTTATATGGATCGCTGAGTATGCTGCTGCCTGCCAATACGGGGTATTACACGAAGTCTGCACATCGAACATGCCTCGTCCTAACCTACTTTGTATCTTTCTCGCTAAACCTTTAGATACCGCGCCATCGCAACCCCAATTGGATGTGGTCCTGGTGGCTCGAGAAGCAGAACCAGATAAAGAACGTGAGTCGTCATCACTATCATCGACCAGATCCTCTATTCCCATACTAGGGTGAGATCCCCGCCAACACTCCGGGTTATGCCATGGTCAAGTGGAATAACGAGGCCGAACAGAGGTGGCTTAAGACCCTCAATGTGGAGGCCATGAATGAGGAGTAGCATACGCTATTGTCAGTCGTGGACACTCTTGGACTTTAGGTTCGCGAGGCGTCGGGAGGCATATTATAAAGGGCATGGTCATGGTCACCAAGGACACTAATATGTCTATTTTTGCTCATTGTTATCACATCCGTACGCTAGGGCGTCGGGATAGGACCATCACTTGATATGGACATTTTGATGTGGTACATGTTGCGCTGTAGTCCAGGAGGGACACGACACAATAGCAATTATGACCCAACGTTGATTTTTCTCTGAAGTGGGCCACTTGTTCTGGCTGGTCAACGCTGCTTGGGCCAACTATCAATGACTCAACTAACCTCGGAGCTAACACTGAAGTGGATCGTTTCCTGAATCGCCATACACTGTCCCCACTAAATTGAATTTCTTATTGATCTATATGAGGCATTGTACTGATCTCGAAGGGCTCACCATGATTAGTTATGGCTTAGAGAAGTTCAACATGGATCGGTGATGAATCAATACTGTCAATAGTGTCATCACCTACTGGCTAAGATGCCCACACGTCCAGGATGGATCGAAAATAACCACGGACGAGAAGTATCGCTGAGGGGACCCCAACGGGGGGAATTGCCATTACTATCCTCAATCGTGTGGCTTCTAAAGGAGCTCCCTGTTGATAGTAATTGTTTTACATGTCGAAGTTGCCAAAGCTTCCCCAAGGGCAAAACGTCTACGTCTACTACGGTTCTGCAAGCGGACGGTCAGAGGAAGCGGCGTTCGATCTGTGGCGAGAACTGAAGTCCCTGAAGTACCCCACAGTCCAGTTTAGTGGTCCACAGGCGTTGGATGCTGTATCGTTCGAGGAAATCTTCAATGGGGAGGATAAGACGGTATAGGAGCATCTTGCTGGTCATCAGCGCTGGAGCCTGTTGGTAGTAGGTCATATTCATAGTATCTACGACTGGCCAAGGGGACTGTCCTGAGAACATGTCGGTGTTCTGGAAGAAGCTTAAGGGCAGCATCGTGGGTAGAGGAGGCAGACGGTCAACTAATAGGCTTCCTGATTGTGCTGTTTTTGGTCTTGGTGATAGCAAGTAATAGGGCAGTGCTTATGGGGTTCGGATTAATGTTATGGAAATGCTCAAAGATCTCTCCTGGCTTGTTCTTGATGTTTTACCGGGGAATATCCCGAAAATAAGAGTAGTAAGGACTCGAATCTCGAGCCTGCTCATAGCTGGTAGCCACTTATTGTAGCCTATTGGCTCGGTGGATATAAATTTCATTTATAACGACTGTCGAGGGAGGCTCCGTAGTAGTATCGTTGTGGGAAGATCTACTAACATGGGGAAGTAGAGAATTGACAAGAAGGGGGTTATTTTGCGTGTGCCCCTCAAAGGGACCACGGCTCATTACTTTATCATCTCGACCTCCCTATAACCCAGCTCGGCGTTCTATTCGCCCATCTGCCAGAGGTGTCAATTCGAATGTATAGATACAAGTACTACAACGTGGTGTCCAGGAGGCTGTACGGCATGTTGAAGCGTCTGGGCTGCAGTATGGTCCATCGACTGGGCTGTGGTGATGACCAACACGACTTCGGCTATGAACAGGAGTTCGATCCGTGGTTGGCCGACCTCTTAGGAGGTAGTACTCCTCTCACCAACACCCTCCTTGTCGTACACAGTTCTTTTCAGTCGAGCCCGATGTCCAATCACGGAAGCGGCAGCCCCTTGAGAAGACTCTGTATGAGGTCCGGCCGTGGACTGAGGGTCAGCGTTTGGGCCGAAGTTCGACCGACCGACAGCACAAGTTGGCTACAGTTTTATGGCGGAAGTGTCTCACCCCTCGTCGCGAACCAAAAGAGGCTATTCACCTCCTACGTCTCTTCCTGCCAGCCGGGCATTGGGTCTACAAACCTGGAGATGTCTGCAAGGTCTGGCCCGAAGTCGACTTTGATATTGTGACAAAGTTCGTGGAGGACACTTTGGGACGGCAGTTGACCGACACTGTCGTGATAGAGCCTCGGTCCCAGTCTAAAGAGTTGGCCCAACGGTTGCCTTGTGGTCAGCCTCTAACTCTCGGGGATATCTTTTCTAAGTATTTGGATATTACTGCTATTCCAGGAAGGTACTTCTTCTCCATCATGGCCGAGTACGCAGACGAGGCTTTGAGGGAATACGAGGCCGGCATGGCCCTCCAGGAAGAGATTGAACTACTGCGGGACAAGTTGGTCGAGTTCGGTTCTCGTACACCAGATGGGAAGAATAAGCGCTTCGAGTACTGCGAGGCGGAGCAGATGTCGTACGCGGATGTCCTGTGGGATTTCCGTCGGATCAGCGTCCCTTTGGACCGGTTGTTGGAGTTGATACCACCGATAGCCCCTCGCAGCTATTCCCTGGCTAGCTGTCCAGACCTTCATGCCTTCTGGAGGGCCATGCCGTTTGGACCGGGGCCACGGCTCGGTGGTCTGGAGTTTGACTTGTGTGTCGGACGGGTCACGAGGACCACGCCCCTGTTGAGGGTAAAGAAGGGCCTGGCTAGCACGTATTTGACGAAACTTCAAAAAGGGGAGTCGGTGAGAATCGAACTCGCGCGGGGTCAGACTCTTGAGAATAGCGGCGTGGACGATCCCCGGACTCCGCTATTCCTGATGGCGGTTGGTACTGGTGTAGCGCCTATCAGGGCCCTAGTCCAGAAGCGCCTCCTCCAGGTGTGGCATGCCCAGCGTTCGGATCGTCTTGGCCGTATCGATGTGGTCCTTGGTCACCGGCACCCTCACCAGGACTTCCTTTTTGGACAAGAATGGCAGACCATTGTTGACAGCTTTCCGGACCTCTTTAGAGTGGTCGCTGCCTGGAGCCGACCGGACGATCAAAATGTTGTCGATCTGGTCAAGTCTGATGATGCCAATAACAGTTATTGCTACTCTGATCTCAAAAGTGATCCCCTGCCAGAGCATTTGGTCGGCAGGAAAACTTGGATTCAGGACGTGTTGAAGGCGTGGGCGTTCGATTGGCCAGTGGTCCTCTCCCAAGGAAGTCGTACCAAAATGGTCTTGGGAGGCAAAAGCCATCCTATGCCGATGCAGGTGTGGCAGACCCTCAGCGAGCTGTCCCCGGGAGGAGAGGTGGATCTGGACAGGGCCCGCAAGCAAGGCCGCTACTTTACTGACACTTGGGCTTGAACTGTATATACCACTATCGTTGCATTCCTTGTAGTATTGCTATGTTGGACACTGTCATTGTTCCTTATTAGTTGCTGTCACTAGTCTCTGTCGTGTTGATATTAGTCTATGGGGAGAGGGCAGCATCAGCATGCTTTGAGGAATTCCAATGAAGCAAATCGTTTCGAGCACGTCAATGGCGTTCAGCAATGCTGAATCAGCATCCTTCTCATGGGTCGCTTTTCTGTCCCTGCTTTACTAAGGCTTGATAGTGGTACATTCCATAATACAATCCTCCCAGATTTCGCAGACGAAGGTCAGGCAGAGGACCATACGGACCGTGAAGGAATCTGGTATTCGTATTGGATTTTTGGGATTTGGTATGGGCTAACAGTGGGTCCTCCGTCAGGTCCAAGAGAGGGAAGTTCTACGGTCAAAAACCATCACGAGGAACATAAGCATAGTGTGATGACATTCATGATGCTAGTGCTTGTGACTAGGGAGGGGTTTGGTTGAGGAAGGAAAATACGATCCTTAGGATCGCCGAACTCCTTGTATGACGCCCTGTCGATCACTAGCAACATCGCTTTCATGACTCCCAATGTGGCCCGGGGCCATTGGCCATAACGTCCACGGCCAGTAGATATCACAGACGTTGAAACTCATATAGTAAGAGATGTGTAAGAGGCTGGTGAGGACGGATTTCTCAACGCGAAGCCTAATGACACATCGAAACTCTTGTAGGTGTGGCAATACAGTAACGGTTTCAGCTCCGAGTTATTCGACATTATTTCTCCCGTTTCCCCTCTGCCCACACGAATCGATAGCCTGCATTCCGCCAACATTACCAGCTCGTTACCAGTGAATACACGGGATCCTCCGGAAACTTGACAATATTGAAACCGCAAATGACAAGATAACTGTTCGAGAACTCTCAGTTTCTAAGTAGTGTCCTTCTGCCAGCACACGCAGCGTCAACTATCACTCGGAAAAGCCCCATCAGATTGGTACGCGCGTAAGGACCAGGAAAGACAGAAAGACGGTATAAGAATAGGACATTGTTCGTGTGGCCCAACTCAACAGCAAGACACGTTAAAAAGCATCGACCTACTACGGCTCGTAGATGATTCAATAGTAGCGAGCAACACATGCTCATGAGGAGGTGCTCCAAAAAGGACCGCCAACCTCTGTACGCTTTGTTCAAGCATCTCTCATTACTTCTTAACCATGTATCTGACATTAACCGAATGCGTCGCTTGTCTAGTGCAGGAGGGACTCACATTGCCGAGACGTAGATGAAAATGGCGACTGGCCAGAACATAGAATGGGTGTTGATCATAAGCTCAGCGAAAGGGGTTGCAGGGTCGTGTCCACCCCAGTCAGTCCTGGCCGGCCACGGGATGTCTGCTCGAGCAATTGAGGGGGATAATAACTAACACAGAGCATCTTATTGAGAGGGACTGATCATCGATGACTTACCGGATTCCTTCTTGGTCTTCCACTAGCTCTGGCAACCGCATTGGACATCAACGACGACACAGAAGTGATCCTGAGAAGTTGTTAAGATCGATCACCTAGAGAGGTTGAGGCTCACCTAGCCAGATCAGCAACTTCGGGAGGGGGCTGGGAGGCAGTCGGAGGAGGACTGAAAGTCATATCGAAGAACCGATCAGCTAAGGGAAGACATCACGATCCCGCGACGACCCGTATGCACAAGACAGCGGTGTGAGATACGTCGTACGGCCAACCCGACTAAGGTCATCAGGAGGTATCTTATCAGTGAAGGATGCCATACCGCTCGGAGTGTCTCGCAATCTAACCTGACTCTCTAGTCACAGGAATAGAAGTCGATGCCCCGGTGCGATCCAAATCAACTCAAGCCGGTTGGGACGTTCGGGCGATGCAATAAGGAGACATTCTCATAGAAATATGCACATCCCGAGCGGGCCAGAAACAGGCAGTAGGAATCCAACAAGTCGGCTCGCAAGTGATACGGGTCCACTCTTGCAATGTTCTGAATGGAGGCTAGTAGATGAAAACTACGAGAGCAACACAGTCCAAGGGCGGAATCTGCAAGAAAAGTGAACCAAACGACGAGCCCGGTCGATGATTCGTCACGCACGCATGCGCAGAACATGTGATTGCGAAGCTCACGCGTTGTGGTAAAACTATTTGCTCGGCCTATCGAGTCGAGAGAAGGAGGAGAACGGATCGTACAAAGTTGCCGACACCACACCTCACGAAGGATACTCAAAGGCAACAGACTTGCTGAGAGGTGTGTATAACGATCACAAAACAGATATAACATCACTTGCATCATTGGTCTAGTGGTAGAATACAACGTTGCCATCGTTGTGACCCGAGTTCGATTCTCGGATGATGCACTTTATTCCACAAAAGAAGGGACATAGTCCTACTGTTTGTATTAAACCCACGCATACGCCATATACCCCCAATCGATGACTACTACCACAGCGCCTAGCGACCTTCGAGCAAATACCAATAAGGCATAGACTACCGGAGCGAGCCTCATGCCTACATCCGGCATTCCACCCACTCGAAGGACAACAGCTACTCTATTCTCAGGATGAGTCAACAAATATACAGGAACGGTTGAGAACACACTCATCGAGAGTGAAACCATATTTAGAGACGTATTCGACCTCCACTTGATGGGTATAGAGACGACCACCGATGACTCGACTGCCAATGCTACGATCACTGAACTCACGAAGGTAATCGTCAGTAGCTAGGTAAGACTGCGCGACACACCCATCAACAGAGGTATCCACTGTTCGCCGTTGTAAACATACAGGTGACTAATCAAACGGCGCCGTATGGGCAGTAGGCATATCCAAGCACTAAAAACAGCTGAGGAAAAAACGACAGTGAGAAAAGGCACTAGTAATAATAACACGGCATAGAGATAATCAGAAGAAACACATGATAGTAGACACGGCAACTGCGACGAGAAAGAACTAGGTCAACTAGGCAGAAACGGATCCAACAGGGACGAGCAAGGGCGTGAAGATCATGCGAACAAGCGCTCACTTTTTGACCATGTACCTACAACAGGACAAGTACCAATAGGGATGAGCCGACGGCAGGAGGCCTACGCCGCAGAGAGGAATATGAAGATGGCTACGGGCCATACAGTAGAATGCGTGTTGATGATGAGCTCAGCAACTGGGCTGGCAGGGTCGTGTCCACCCCAGTCCGTCCTGGCCGGCCAAGGGATGTCCGCTCGACTCACTCTCTCAGGTAGTAGTAACTGACATGGAAGTGGACAACGAATCCAGCGATAGTAAACCCACAGCCGACTTCACTGATCGTCCTCTTGCCCTCGACACAACGTTGGACCAAAGGGTAGACAACGAAGTGATTCTGGAATAGAACTATAGCAGAGGGAGATCTTCATAAGACTAACCTGGTCAGGTCTTCTACTCGACGTTGTGTACCATCCTCTGGGAAGAACATCGGCATACAAGAGAGAATCACAACTACCACAAGGGAGGGCCGACAAGATCACCAAGCACTACATATCATATGCCAATCGTCAGCGACCTATACAGCTCACACTTTACATACTAATAAAATATGCGATGAATGAATTACACGAGTGTCTAGGCGATGCTTTGACCATAAACTATGAAGAGGTACATATGTAGTAGACGAGGAGCAAACGGTAACTCGACAAAGAGTGTATGGTATTGGGAGAATTACTGCATGGGAGTCGTCACGCCTGGTCCGTTACGTCGGTTGCCCACCCAGCCTTAACGTAATTGTAGAAGTCGGAACGGCTCAAATTGTAACTGACCATTACAATGAGGGAACTCTACTGAGGAGAAGAGGCGAAACCACAAGCATGGATTCGGAAGAGCACTCCCAGTAGGAGCTTCTTCGAGACGCTTACTCCCTGTCCCTATCGTAGAAATTCACCTCGCCGGTGAGCAAAGACCGATGGTGAATTTCTCGGTTGGGCCGAATTGCTATCTCGGGGACAGGTGGAGGTGGCTGTAGATCAGAAGTCAGATCTAAAACCCTGCTATACCGTGACTCCCTCGTGAATCCAATCATGTACCTGATGACCAGAATCGATCGCGGTGGTGAGGAGAAGCACTAGTGGAACTTACTCTTCTAAGAGGTCTGAGTACTTATAGACAAACTTCCGTTCAGCCGGGGAAAGGCGTCGACCTGCAATAGTATCGCCTGCCGACTTCACCCCAGACGACCCATCCTCTCCACCATCAGTAACCTGAAGACAACAACAACGAATCTAACGATAACCACTTTGATACATAAATACGTCCATATGTATACCCTGTACGAGCATAGTAGTGGCCATGACTACTCCCTCACTGTTCGCGATAGTGATAGTTGGATAACCTCACCGAAATTCAATTCTTCTCCTGTTTTCAACGGTAGTAGTCGCTACGATACATGATAATTTTACGTCATAATGCACATATACTCTACTTCACAATAGTAATGCTACGATAATGCAACCTATCAACACGGTCTTCTGTTTCGATGGATTTATCAATTGAAACATAAGGCACAGAGTCGATAGTACTGGTCGAGGACCTATGAGGTCAGCCAACACATAGGCCGAGCCAGCTTGCCATCGAAGACACATGAGCACATCTAGTCGATATTGGAGGTAGGCCAAAACGCCTGAGGGCAATGAGGATATGAGTTGGCCAGAAGGAGGGCGTACATTGTCGATTCCGAAGAATGGCGTCCAAGTAGACGACAGGGCTCAAGGATGCTCTCTTCTTCGTCTTGTTGCTACCACCAAAATCATCATCGTCATTGGCCGGCAGTCGGCTGGCCACGTGTTGTGCAAGTAGAAGCCTCTGGAACAGGTCACCTGAATGAGAGCGAATACAGGGGTCCATGATTCGGGTTAGGGTACCCATTTCCTTCACAACCGAGCGAATCTTCTGGGCATCGTAATTAGGCAACCACTCGGACTCTCTGGCGCTCCGTACCAAACTGACAGCGTTGGCAGTGAGGCCACCGAGAGACGAGGACGATGGAGCTTGCTGAGGTGGGCTCATGGGGTGATGACCAATAACAACATTGCAAAAGGAATATTGAAGATGGGATGAATGGGTTCATTCCGGACCTACTTTGAATCTTTGATCGATATTCGAATCTTGCTCACACTGCATAAATTTCATACCTGTTGTTGAAGCCACGGCCCCCGACGGAATGAATCATCGTCTACTGCTTAGATTCAATTCAGTTCATGAGCATCACTCCCATCGACCTGCCCGCCCCAAGACGAACACTGACTGCGGAGGGACTTGCGTGCTGCTATCGTCTCAGTTGTTCGGAGAATTTCGTGGCGCGCGACATTTTTCAGAGTTCATGATCTCGAGAGACTCCAAAATTTGTCTCACAGATTCAGGATGGAGGCCAATTTTTCAAAGTTGATTTTTCTACTTTGTACAATGGCGACTACGAACAGCAGTAGTAGCGGCTCTCACGTAAACGCGTCGAGCCAGACGATACGGCGTATTCAAAGGGAAATCCTAGAGATTCAGCGCAACCCCAGCAGCAATTGGACTGCCTCTCCCAGTAATAACCATATTTCGCTAAGGCTTGCCTTTGACCATCGACTCTGCAGCTGCCGATAGCATCTTCGAGTGGCACTATACGTTCAAGGGACCGCCGGGGACTGAGTTCGAAGGTGGACGCTATCATGGCCGAATCGTTTTGCCCAGCAATTACCCGTTCGGACCGCCGGTCATCATGGTAAGCTGCTCGAATGCACCGGTGCATGAGTATCTTCGTTCAGTTATTAACCCCGAATGGTCGTTTTGAAGTTAATAAGAAAATATGTTTGTCGATCTCAAGTTATCATCCCGAGTTGTGGCAGCCCGCCTGGGGTATTCGAACCATTATGGAAGCTCTCAGGAGCTTTATGCCCACCCCTGGTGAATCTTCACTTCCTCACCGATTTTGAATCCTGCATCTGCGCACTATTCAGGTGAAGGAGCCATCGGCGCGTTGGATTGGCCGGCAGAGACTCGCCGACAGTTGGCCGAGGAAAGCCGAGCGTGGACGTGTAAAATGTGCGAGGTAGTAGCGGTTATCGATGGGTTGGAAGTCGGCGTTTATCTATCCTTCCTAGGCGTCCAATGAGGATCTCTTGCCGGGAGGTGACGACGATAAAGAGGATCTTCCCCGACAGGACAGTGATGATACTGAGGATGTGCCCAAACCTATGGCTTTCGTAGCCCTCAATAATGAGGAAGAGTTGCCAAGTGAGAAGCGCTGTTTTTACACTGCAAGATGAGGGTCAAGGTTGTTGCCTATAGGTAGCCCAAAGAAGGCAATCGACGACACACCCGAGATACCCACTCCCACTGGAAAGCAAACAGATTCTCCTGGCGGCAATGCAGATGAACAGAGCAGTGCGGCGGCGTTAGCCAGGCGTCCACCTAGGAAGATGTCGATGCTCATGCAGGTGGGGTCTTGCTCTGTTACAAGTGCCTTTCAGGGCTACTGAGGTATTTGTCGTATTCAGTTGCTGCAATTGCCAAGGAATTCGGAGGAATCTGGGTTGTTCCTGATCAACCTTGGAGTAATGCTGGTCCGCTGGGAGAATTGTCCCTAATGATTCTCTGCTCAGATATTAGCCGTCATAGGTTTCGCAATAGCCCTCATCGTCGACTGCTTCAGACATCCCCCAGAAGCGTTCATCGGCCCTAGCGGTCAATAGGGAATGCTCCTTGCCCAAGATGGACTCGCAGCCATCAGAGAACTGACCCCAGTTCTAGTCCCAGGGAGGGTATTTTATTCATGTACTATAGCATAGACCATTATCAGCTTTTGTGGAAGAGTAGATTCGCTTACTGTGGTGTGTTTTTCTACTCGCAGCCTCTTGTGTTCGACACATCCACCGTCTATTACCGGTAACTGTCTGGTAGTTGACGATGACGTGTCTTATACGTTTTTATCCACACTAGTGAGATCACCGATAGGAGGATATCCGTGTTGAGTTCAGCAAAGCGGGATGAGGTTCTCTGCAGCATTTTTGGGGTCCTGTCATTGTTGACCGATTTTTCTCCTTCAAATGACTGCGGGTGCTGCCTCCAACAAATCAGGCGTGGTGTCTGAAGCTCAGAGATGCAAGTTGATCCATGCGGAATATAATGCTTGCATGGCTAAGTGTAATGGTAACCCTTCGAGATGCAGTAAGCAGGAGCAGGCCTTAAGGCAGTGCGGAGAGAGGTGACATACGGTGGCGGTAGAGTGACGTTGGACGAGTACTCGTGTTAGTCTCGGCATCAACTATTGCATCCAGGAAGGCATCGATCTCATGCAGTGTGCCAAGTCCCCTACCCAAGATGGCTGTGCTAAGCAGTTCATCAAAATGAGGTATCACTCCCGTCACTGTCATAAACGAGGGGCTCTGTTGAATTCAGAGAGTGCAATCGTCCTAGCGGAGCGGAGCTGACTGTCTCCCAAGCCGGGGGCTATGCCATTGGCGGTACTGATTCTGCCAAATCTCGCTATTTGAGAGGCGCGGAGAAGCTGTTGGGTGGTAGACCACCTCAGAGGACTGCGGTAATCGCCTCGTAATCCTCGCGTATCCCATCGAGAGACTTCGACATTGTTAGGCACAGCTTTCGGCGGCCTGCGAGGCTTATGCCGAGGCCAATGGTATCGGCGAACAGAAGAATACTCGGTTCTAAGGTTAGTGTATCACTCTGATATCTATGCCAAATATAGGACGGTCCAGGCTGTGGTTGATATTGATATACGTTTCTAGCGTGTTGGAGATTGTGGTCATGTGTTATGAGTAATCACTAGGTGGTGGTTGGATTTGATCCCTCGTGGGTGAGACTGAGATGTTCATATTCGGAGGAGTGAAGGTTAGATTTGAATACGCGAGTATATTATTGGACTCGAACTCAAGCCTATAGATGAGAAGAATTGCGTTACGGACCGTTACGGCGCACTTTTGCGGTTACGCTTCAAGCTCCGTACCGAAAATTACGACGCCGTAATGGGTCTTCCGGAGGTGCGCAGGGAAAAACGGGGATTGATCATTCAGGTCGCCTAAATCTACTTATGCGAGGCCGCATCCCTAGACGAGACCGGCTCGGCAGTTCCAGGCCAGCCTGGGACGGACGGAATTTGCAAGGCGGACGAGTGGTAAATGCGAAACCAAGTGTTATTCTCTCAGCGGTTCGGTTGAATCCGAGTCACCAGAAACGAGTTTAAGAACAATGTGCGCTGTGGTGGAGTGCATTACAGCGAATGTTTCCGCCACAATTTCCAAAAAGGCAGTTCAGCATCAAGCGTAAGCCGTAAGGCCTTTTCGTAACCGTAGACTACTTACGTTACGCACACCGCAACGTAAACCGTAAGAAAACGTTACACTGCCCATCTATACTCGAGCCCCTGCGGAAGCGTTGTATTCCACCACTAGACCCAGGCTACAAGGAGAAGACGTGGGGAACACTCGAGTCATAAGGTTGGACTCTGGCATGAGGCGTGGAGCCATGCGCCCCTCATGCTCATTATGATTCATTCACTATGAACCCTTATTAATCGCCGTGGGTTACAGGTCATAATCATGCAAGCTTCACCTTTGAGGTACGCCAATTGTCCCTACTGATTCATTCTGCCAGAGAACCCTCCCATAGACTATTCTACGACCGAACGCTATCCGTATAGCTTTTCCCTTCATCGTCAATCCTTCTAATGTTTCCACGATCTTGCGGCGCAGGGCTCTATTCTCACATCCAAGTTCACTGTCTTAACAACCGTTCTATCACCGACTTGGACGGTACATGCGGATGTGATAGATTCCGATCCTCATTCCAACACTCAGAGTGAATATGACTGCTGACTTTCAACTGGCTTCTCGGGAATTCTACTTTTCTTTCAATTGAATATGCGCAACACAACTCCATGTAACATTGTAGTGGCATCAAAGGAGCCCTCCGTGAGGATAGGCAGGTAATCCACTTAGGAACATCAATGCTGAATTGCTCATGAATAGAGTCTTAAAGACCGACTAGATTTTGACCAGGGATGAGTCTGGCAACTTGTCATGTACGAGAATCACCTCATACCGCGCAGCTATCCGTCACTTTGAGACCGCGTTTGATCTCAGCTACTGGCACTCCGACCATCTGCACCATATCAGTCTCAGTCGCGCACGTGTCCATCCTTCTCAATTCACCATCGAAGGGTTTCTGAGAAGCGTCACTACCCATCTACTCGTAACAATAGCCATGCTATACATTTCGAAGTTTCCCGGAACGCGATATGAGATGAACTTTTCCTACTATCACTGATCGTTCTACTAGTTAGTATATTATACTACTAATAATCTACCAGTACTATCGAATACTAACTACACTGTGGAAAATCCGTATAGAAGTGGTTAACCTGCTCACGATGGCAAGGACAATTCAACACCCCCCTTAAGTCTTCGTGCCAAGTGGGCATGCATAGGTAATACCTCTGAGGCATCAACTGGGGCTGATTTCCTCACGATCCGTCTCCTTCTCATTAAGATGAAAAATCTCAGCGCCAACACACCGAGGAGCTGAGAGACACCATGCGACGATAAGCTGAAATTCGTGCGGTAATGGCAAAAGTCTACAGCCCACGAGAACGAGGCGCTACGGCGTGATTATTCTTATCGGACACGACGAATTCCGTGGAGGCCCCGAGTGAGCCAAGTTGGCTCCATTTGAAGGTCAATTTATGGCCTCACGAAGGAAAACATTGTCCACTTATACGATTCGAATATATGTTATCATTGTGAGCGTCACGCATCTCCACTCCTTACCAAATAGACAGCAATCTCTATGAGGAAGCATGAGAGGCCAACTGTATAGATAACTCCACTGTTGTTCACAATATTGGCTGCATCCTCCCATTGGCTAGGGAGCATCCCGCTACAAACGTACCTTAACAGAGCATATCCAATCATCACTTTCAGCCTCCGATATTCGATCATATCGAAAACTGTGTGAACGTCTCACGATTCCAGAAACGCCACAAGGGACAAACATTCTAAAGACACTCCCTTCTGTCTCACACATCAAAAAAACGTAAAGGGATCCCCCGAGGAGTCCATGGCTCTCCATGGCTCTACACTGTCCAAATTCGGAAGCTGCTATAGTGGTGACCCGACCGACCGTTAACAGTAAAACAACCTATGGTCCATTCCCGACGACCTACTCGGGATGGTTCATTGCGTCAATAACTTTGCCAGCTGTATCAAGGGTGCAGGAAGATATCACCCGATTGGCCAGAGAGATGTGCGAGAACATCTAGAGGAGAATTGGCGGCGCGATACATGGGGTATCAATTCGGCCTCTACCTGTACTATAGTCACTATTCGGAGGCCAATCATGGTCCATGCTACAGCTCCGTAAGCCAAGACCATCCATGATGAGGCGAAGACCAATCCGTAGTAAGGCAGCAGGGGTAAAAAGGGGCTTAATAATGATAGAAAGTTTGACCTGAAAAATGATGTGTGCCCGTGGGATCGAACTGGTGCCCTTTTTTGACTCACAAATCGGTCGAAGGGATCGACAATATAATCGACATTGTGATGAAAGTGAGATTTATCAATGGTGGGAAATATGTGAGGAAGATGAACCCTCTGACACGACGAGCGTAACTCCTCTCTACCATATCGATACCAATCCTGAGAGATAATCATACCAGCAACTCCCAGTTGATTAACAAGGGCTTCTACTACACCTCAACAAACTGCGAGGAGGAATAGCATTCGCTGTCATTCGACTTGAGACTAGGCTTCACAGGCATTAGAAAAGGAACGATTGAAGACAGGACTATGAACGACAATGGAATCCACCAAGAGAACTTAGTGTGTACAGGGACAAACGACGCAAATAGGTGATGGTTCGGAAATAAACTGCATCATCCGAGAATCGAACTCGGGTCACAACGATGGCAACGTTGTATTCTACCACTAGACCAATGATGCAACTGATGAGTAAGACGATATCAGCCCCGTGTCTACTCGAAGTGCCCATTCACTCTCTCTACATAACGTTGCGCAATTCAACTATGAACTTCATTCAGAAATAGTGAACAATCTTATCACAACAACCTTATCAGGGATGGAACGGAAAACAAGTCCTCGGAGAGCTGAAGAATAAACAAATCGGCAGGGGAAGCTTCTCTCGGATGAATGTTAGCGTCGCCCTAATGCCAGGGGAGCTGTTGGGGATTTTCCTCCAAGTGAACTGATAACTATCTACAATAGAAAGTGGGAGAACAGCAGCATACGGGTATCAGTTTCGTGAATGGTTATTATCATTGATCAAAAGAGCCATTATAGAGCTACAATTGATAAGGGAGACGCAGTCATCAGCGGACAACCGCACGGGTGTTACCATCTCGAAATCTCGAGGCTTCTTGTCGTTTCTCACACTGCGAGACCGCTGGGCAACCCTATTAAAAGGTGTCGAAGGAGGGGGACTCCCTTCCCGCGCTTCTAAATCGACATCACTGCAAGAGGTCGATCGTTTCATCGACCTTCATGGAATCTCTCGCTACCGTGCCTTCTGCCACAGCTCCATCAGTTGGGCGCATAAGACCCTGAGGCAGCGTATGCTTAGCATACCTTCTCCGCAAAATGCATTATCTTGGCGAATTTGTAGAACGAAGCTATGATACCCACGAGTTAATCTAAGACCATCCAAGACCGACTCTACCAATCAAAAACAACAAATATCATCTCACCGCAATACTCTCATTATGCTAGGTCTAATCAATTTTTTGCGAGCGATAAAATCATCTACTGTTGAAACGCTTGAGCATGCTCACATACTGCTAGCTTCGAATCGGACTCCTGAAACCGTTGCAGGAGGAGATGAGAGTGCAAGGTCCTTTATCGTAAAACTACTGATGATGGTTGGAGATACTGAAAATGAACGCCACTCTGTATCACTCACTTCGACTTGGAGACATGCCCCCTCGCATGATGATAAACACAACACATCAGTTGACATAGACCTCGAGAGACCTCATATCACCACCAAACCGGCGACGACAACAACAACGGCCATCTTAGACTTCATCAACATTGGTACAAAATATGAGGAGACTATGCATCGACAGCACATGCTCAGCTGTAGTATGAGAGAGAGAAGGACCATGTGGTCAATGCATAGTCATCACTAACATAGGTCAGCCATTCTAAGTATTTTCAAAAGCACCCGAGAACCGTCATCGTCCGAGCTACACTTGAATATTCTCCTCTTTATTCTTCGGGCTCGACACAGGTACACCAACAGCAACCTTATCCGTATCATCAGCCTCAGTGCCTCTAGCAACATACCCGCTAGTGATAACCTGAACATTAGTTTCACATGTGCGACTATCATACCACTCATTCCTCATATTACCGTAGCATTCACGCCTCCCATCGAACCAGTGGTCGAAATCCTGAGGCCATTCCTCAGCTTCGAATACCACATTAAAGCCAATGCCAACAACATCTGAAAATTAAACGTTCGAACCTCATACCACTCCTTTCCTAATTACCAGATGTAATACCACCACCGGTATGAAAAACGAGAGGTACATCACGAAAGTCAAGCCTTGATTATTCGCCCAGTGTTGGAACGTCGAATAGTCCAAAACCGAGTAGAATGAACATGCGTATCTTCAAGATCAGCAACTTCATCGTCGCGCACTACTTTACCCCTTACGTTGGATTGACAACGGCCGGGACTACCCTAAGCCCAGAGACTTCACACTCCTCTATAAGCGTCTCGCACCGTTTCACATAGTCCAACACCTGAACAACATTCCAATTAGTCATGAAGCTGCTGCACAAAAGGGACAAAAGCCGCCGACAGTTACCTGCCAAACTGAGAGGATCTGACACACTGCCAACGCACCGTTGAGAACAGCGTAAAGACCCATAAACGAACGACTGTTATTAGCGTAAGAATAATACAGAGCTGTGGGGGAGACAACCGTGATGGCCAACAGAACATAATACCTGGAAAAAAAACGACATACGAAAATCGTAAAATGCTTCGCTCCGCCGCCTTTGCACTTGCTACTCACCATATGTAGACAGGTACCGATACGAACCACACTGCGATGGCGAAGGCGATGCAAAAAACTATCGGTACGAGGGACAGGTAGAATGTGAGCCTTACTCTGAAGGCCAAACGGTCATCTGCAAGATGTATTCCAAGCCTGGCAAGACATGAGGATGATATCTCCATCGCAACGATGAGAGCTTACACCCTTTTAGGCTTGTATGCAACTCCTTGTACCGTAGGGAAGGATGACGGAGTAGCAGCAGTGACAGGGTTGATCTGGGGACTGCTAGTTGTTTGCATTTATCAGAGTTACTAACTGTCACAAGAAATAGTACCACAAGGCGAGCGCTGCTCAAACAGCTGCCGTGACACAATGATGCAGGGAGACAGATCACACAATATCACGTATTCTTGGATCACGCGTGCTACAACACAGCATAATAATCTCGAAAACCATCACCAACAATGACTGAATGTTGCATGGCTCCTATGCAACCTCCAAGGCAGCTCACTTACCCTCACGTTCTGCCTCGTACCCAATACGCGACAGGTTCATGAACAACACGTCGATATGAGATGATCCTCACCCACATGGGGACATCGTCGTGACGCCGCTAACCAGATGTTGCCGGTGACCTCTCAAAGCGGCGTCGAATTCTATCCTCGCACCTTCCTGCTCCCCATCCCCCACAAAGTTGATTGCTCGAAATCTCGCGGACCCGTAGTATCGCGGATAAAATGAATTCAGCATCTTTGGGCATCCAGAGTCAAGCCAATTTATAACGAGAATAATTACTCTCTCAGTAATACTTGCGACTATCCATCGGAAGACCCCGGGTCAAATCCCCAATGAGTCACATTGAACAATGCTTAAATTCACTTCACTTGTGTGGATCATTTCCATCAACTAGTTTGCCTTCTATCCACTTACTCACATCCCTGTCCTAAACCCTCCTTTTCCTCGTCGTGTTTCATATCACCAAGTCGGTGGAACCGCATGCAGCTGCACCGACCCTTCCTAGCATCTTACATAATCGATAATTCAAATCTTCGCTGTGCGCACCGAGCAGCGTATCTTCCCTCCAACTCGACATATCTCACAAGATACAAAGGATATGAACCACCTTAGATTCTTGACCACTTGCGGTCGCCACTTATTCATCATATGTTGGAAAAAATAAAAGAATGACGCTTTTCTTGCTTCGCTTCGCTAGAGAAAGGAAAACGACAAAAATAGTACATTCGGAATATGACGAGCCAGACAGCTGTCAACATGGTCTATAGATCAGCGGTCGCATCTACGTTCTCATAGTGCGCACGCATAAACAACAAAGAAAAACTTGCTCACGACCACCTCCACCACCACAACGACGATGACGAAGAGGAGGAGGAAGAGCGCAGCAAATATTCACCGACCATCAGTGATAACTCTCCACAACTACTACTTATCATATTTCTACCCAAGACTAGTACTATTTTACAAGCTGAAAAATCATCAGGGTATTTCCTCCGACGTGCCCCACACCCTCACCGACGAGGATGACTACGGCAATCGACTTGAGAAATAAAATCATCACAGAAAGTTGTCACAATAATCCATAATAATCACATCCAATATTAGAGGTGTTTAAGGTGAAGCAGCGAGCTATCCCCTTCCACGTGAGGGAATAGCTCTTCTGCCAGAATGTCAAATATAATGCGCGGTTCGTCAAAAGTGAGTCTATGATAGTCTTCAGGCGATAGATCATGATACCTTTCAGCATCCAAACGTACAACACAAGACGTAGTGAATTTGAGGACCTGACCAAAACAATATCTTAGCGGAGCGATGCAAAACTATCATCGCTATTACCTCAAATTCTGCTGAGGGGTTCGGAGGGCCCTCTAGTATAACTTGATACCGTAATGGTATGCCAGAAGTACTACTAGACGAGTCCATTGTACCCTCTTCCTCCGATATAAAAGGAACTGGCGGCGACATTAGCATCATCATCGGAGCGCTAGGTGGCAGGCCAGTGAAGCAGCATGGCGATGGGGGCGCGTGGATTCGAACAAACGTATTATTCGGTGCCCTATGATAAATACCGTTCAAGGTGAGCTCCAACACATAGTCAACCTAAAAATTAAGATTCAAATATCGCTTCGCTCCGCTAATATTATTACCATCTCATTTCTGCTTATACAATACTCACGTACGTCCACTTTCACGACACTGCAACCCGATACTTCAATTTTTTCCGTAACTCCGTCTTTAATTGAAATGATCTTAGCATCGAAAAAATGCTGCTTCGCTTCGCTAACTATCAACTCATCTTCTTCAACTTCCAACAACGTCAATGATTCCTCGTTGAATCGACTACCCGTATCTTCCGTATCAGCGCACAGCGAAGATTTTCCCACTCCCACTGCAGGCCAATTCTCCTTCAGAGTGGCCGGTATATTAGGCGAAGTCACAACAGCCGAAGTTTCTCCCAAACCCCCGACAACTTCTTCCGAACTTTCACTGAGTGATGGTAGGACTACCGGATTCGATATAGCTTCCGAAACAGACATTTTTGACAATCCGAAATAATAGGGAATTCCTGGAAAAAAACACATCCGGAAGAATTTAAAATGAACCCAACACTATAATCAATAAGTGATGAAACGCCGAGGCTCTCTAGTATAATGACGAGCTCCGTCACGCGCCACGAAATTCACCCATCACTTTCCACCTTTGTGGGAAATAAAACTTCGCTCCGCCTCCATATCAACCTTATGTAAAAAAGATATTTCTCGCGCGCTACTACAAGATTAGAAAAGATGCTTTTTCTCCACGACTTGTAATTGTCGCCAAACATACAAACCACCGACGACAACTACTATGATACCTGACAGAAAAATTGAGGAAATGCAAGATTTAACAAGATTGCAAGATGCTCCTTACAAAGCATAAAGAGCTTATTCGCTAAACTATGCGAACTGCTGATGGAATCTTCCAAATCATCACTTATCAGCGAACTGACGAAAATACACAAACATGCAACGCTTCGCTCCGCCTGTAGATATTACCGTCCATCATTACCATCAACCTTGGTTAACTGCTCTCTAACCTTCTCAACACGGTCCTGATAATGACGCACAGTGAAGATTTCATCCAACATACACAACCGATGATACACAAATGAAATAAAAAATAAAATAAAGTTATTCCCCTTAACAGTCTCAATCTCCCTAACGTGTAATTGCAAATTAATACACAAATAAAATCGCAATCCATCCAAGTTGTTCCTCGAATAAATCAAGTTGACGTGAACGTTTGTGTGGTGACCTCCTTTTACCACCATTACTGTGAGAACTATCACGCTTTCAGCCATCCCCTTAAACGAAATATACATATACGCGTCACGACCAACTCCATTCAGAGATTCCCTTTGTGTGATACCTTATGATCGCCGGATTCCCGCGTGAGCATCTCCTTTAACCAACCATCTGAATCTTCACACAGACAGTCCCCGAACTACAACATATCCTCAAATCTTCCTGTGCGCTGATAATAATAACAACAACAATAAAGATACTTCTCAGTAGCTTTGATTCCTTCCTCAATTGCTTCATTCGTGACTCCAAATCGATAACTTGATGAGTTATTTTACGTGAACGAAAATCGCAAATCCACAAACTAATCGCTACCATCGCTACTACTACTACTACTACTACTACTACTACTACCGAGCTGAGCATGGACCTTAGCCAGTTCTGGCTGGGTTGTCTGTATGTAGTTGAGGAGTATCTCAGTGACCTTCTGGAGAGCCAAAGTCTGTTGAAAGGTATCCTCACCAATGTCCTTCGTCAGTAGCTGACATCAACGAGAACAACTACAGCGCGGACGAGAACACCGATTTTTAAAACGTCGTATATCGATTCATATTGCTGATAGCGAGAGTTGGTCTTCGAACACCCGATATTGCATACTGTTCTAGTTGCGGCACGTTAGGCGCTATTGCCGCCTTTTATCTTATAGTGTACTAAAACTACATATGCCATGCCTCTGAAGTGAATCAAATCTTATATATGTTTCACTTGCTATTGTTTTTTCTCTATAATATCCTTATTGCTACTACTCATCGTAGCCGTTATAATTAGTCCCTATCGAATGAATAATTGTTAACTAACCAGCCTGGGACATCACCATTGATCAGTAACGACGAAAAACTAGAATTTGTTATTTCCATCTACATAACAACCTGCTATTGTTTTCTTAGTAACGTCATACGAGATCCCTTCGCAGGAACTTCTCTTTGAATAGAAAAATGTCACTCAGAGATATACGCTAATGCATAAGCCTTTAATACCAACAGTTCCCTCAGCCTACTTCTTGCCAATCGATCTTGCCACCATCAGAAAGCTCATCAACTACTTCCTGTGATAAGGTCTCTCCTGCTTTATGCATATCCATGTTGTACCTAAGTTCGAATATACATCTGATCCTATCAAGATCATCACACATATATTAATCAAGTGCATGCAGAAGTTATGGGGTAGGGAAGACTACTTACACATGCATATCGATGATAGACACCTTCTCAGTGGGGAGAGTTTGTCCACTCCACGACGTAAAGCCAATATAACCAGATGACCTAAAGATGATGATGATGTGGAGGAGGAGTGGTATGATACGCCCGACTTACGGCAATGATACACCTCTCTTTGTGGTGAGGTCACTCCAATGTCTATTCCCATCACGATAACGAACCATAATGAGATCCGGACGAACACGAATGCCAATCTAGGAGCGGAACTTTCTCTAATAAAAGATGAATATAATATACTACTCTAACAGGTGCACCATTGGCATGTAGGTTAACCCTAGCTGAGGAGGCACGATCTGGTATATCCCGGTCGAAGGATATCGTCTGGTCGTTCCTATTGGTGATTACCGAAACTGAGAAAAAAAAATTATTCAGATAGGGACGGTATCAATCACGATTTTCCGAAATGAGCTTACTTGCGCATTTTCCAAGCAAACTTTTCCCTCATTGTGACGTTTACTACCAAGTAAAATGATGATGGAAAATGTCAATACGAAGGTGAGCGATGATTGTACTTGCCAATTCGTAAGCAAATTCCAATGTATTTTTTTATGGTGGAGATAATTACGTCTAACGCTCTTAAAATATAGTATGTATTCTCTGCAACTTTCGTACACTTTAAAATTGTGTATATAATTTCCATCAGTTGTCGAACTAGAATAGATTTCCATTAATGGAGTTTCACCCGTTTTACGTGAAGTAGCGTAATTCTCTGTGAAAAACGCTATATTGGCGATATGCAGAAATCGTGAAGTATATTTTTCACTAGTGTTTTTCATATGAGTAGTTGATGCCGGAGGTTTACCTGTGTATTCATCTCCTGAGGCGCCTTTAGGAGTAAAAACGATACCAAAGCCATCGAAACGTGACTGAGAAAGACGCTTTACAACGCGGGAAGGAAAACAGAGAATTAAAGATCAGTGTGGAAGGGAAGAACATGCAAAGTGTGTTGTTTGGAACATGAAACCTGCGAGAAAACTTTGGAAAATTCTCATCGTTTTTTCTGTACACTCCTGCCCAAATTCGTATGAAAACTAGAGAGGAGTCTTCTGAGCTCAGCTGAGGAGAGCGAACATGAAAACCAACACTGTTGAAGATAAATTGAGAAATATATTTTTTCACGTTTTTACTCACCTTCTGGCCGAGAAGGGAATAATCAAGTGCGTTGAAGGCTGCCCTCCAATCTTTCTTATTGTCACCTTTTTGTAGTTCGTCACGAATCTTCGAAAATTCAGCAGTATAGTTCATCGTAGTAAACCTAAAGTAGTCGTCCAAACGATGCTGCTAGTAGTTCTCACCATAAAGCGAAACCCGAGTCGCGACTTCCAGATGGACCATCAGTTACCTGACGGGAAATGTACCCCAATCGTACATGATTCGTATCTTGCCATGTCGAACCTAAGATACTTACCGAGAGATCGAATAGGATTTCGAAGTCGGTGGTTTCTATAGGCATAGTGTGCATGAATATACCGTATCTTTGGGCGATACTAGGATTGAGTATAACATGATCATCCGTAGCGACTGTGGCACCGTTCATAAACCAATCACCTAATTTGATATTATATCTATTCCTTATCTATAATCTTACCAAGTGTGTTGGAATAGGTTAATGGGCTGACAAAGCTGTGCCTCATGAGTTCCATACGTCTACCCCAGTCTAAAAGTTGAAATTGAGGTGGTCAATGAGTTTACATCTCTTACGGTGTCGTCGGCTTCGGTGGTAGGGTATAGCATCATCCTCAGCAACGACACAAAACACCAGCAACCACGAGACGATGAAAAATAGTGCTGATCGACGAATCATTGAATATCCAAAGGCCCACTATGGTAAGATGCAAAGTAGGCCCGGGCGTTTCCGCGTCTCTCAACTCCAACCCTCCATCTTGCCACCAAAAATCTCATCGAAATAATTGTAAGTTTCGCTCGCCATTCTAATCGATTTGTCATTAGCGAGGTGCCCGAGCCGTCCAAAGGCCTCTTCACCGGTCCGGGCGTTCGATAAGACGTATCGATGTTTAGAAATATATTGGCATAGGCAGTTCCGTCAAGTGTACAGTAGTAGTGGAGGTAGTATACGTGACGATTCTACGAAGGAGTGGTATGATTATAAGGTTGGTAGAGTATGCTGTGATAGGTAGTTATAGGCTCTTCCTGTTGTTGTTGTTACCATGGGAAAAGTTCACGGATCGTTAGCTCGTGCCGGTAAGGTTAAGAATCAGACTCCTAAGGTCCCCAAGCAGGAGAAGAAGAAGGCTATCACTGGTATTGTTATTTCTGCGTCTCATACCACTCCTTTCCCTCATCGTCATTCTCTCAGGTCGTGCTCGTAAGCGCATGCAGTACAACCGTCGTTTCTCGGCTAAGGTGACCGGTGGTCCCAAGAGAGGCCCTAACTCGAACCAGAAGTAAACGAGTTGATTTACGAACTGTATCATCATCGTAATAGCTCGACTGCCTACTACTTCTAGTCAGTAGCTTGTTGGGTTGTTAAATCGTAAAGTGGCGGTGGAGTGGTATCAGTTAATATTATTATCTTCCGCTGTCTCGTAGTACCAGAAAGTACTGCGGCGGGGTGGTAGGGGGCTCAGGGGATAATCAGGATGGAGTAGAGCAACAAGACGAGTTTGATCATCACATATTGTTGTCATCATCCTTCGATGAGGAAGAGTTACGGTATCCATTACGGATGAGTGAAGGTGGAGGAGGATGGAGGTAGGCCTAGTGGTAGTAGTACTAGAAGGTCTGAGACTAATAGGCATCTATACAATGTGGAGTAGTGCCTCAACTTGAATTAGCCTCATCATGGTAAAAAGGTTGATATGACTTCTCAACGTTTACGAAGCGTTTTACAGTCTGCAAGCAAGTTATTGAGCTTGATAATATTATAACGACAACATTGGTTTGGTTCACATTGTGAATAGTTTTCTGAAACGACTTAGTCGGTATAAAGACCACCCATCGAAATGCCTGCCTTGTATAGTATTAGGGGTAATAGAACAGCTTTGGTTAGTGCCGTGTAATACGATTCCATAATCGTGTTGTATTATTACTACTCCTAATGGCATTTGTATGGTGAATAGCGAGCAGTAGTAGCAATGTGGTGGATCTTTTCTGGTCGTCCCTCCCCTTCACTTCAATATTCGTATGTTCATTTCAGCCGTATGGAGTCGGTGGACTCTTGTAATGGTGAAGTTGATGATACATCTCCCAATCGGATTGCCCAAAATGCTGATGAATATTTTGCGGGACGAGGAAGGGGGAAGAGGCGAAGTCGAAGTGGTAGTGGAGTGATGCTCTCTTCCTGTCCAGCCGAAGTCTTGACGGCGGTGGCGGGTGCTCAAATGGCGCCGCCACTGGGGATCGAACCTGCGTCTACTCCTCCCAAAGGTCAGCATCCTACCATCAGAGAC